GCAAATTGTGACCAGTAGTTTGTATTTTATCTTCTGAAAATTATTCCTATCTTTTGTTCGCTTACCTGCTGCAGCGTAGTTCTTCATAATATATAATTATATCAATTCTCTATATATCTTGAACATCAATCAAAGATGTTTGCAAAATTTTTTTCCTATCATTGATCATTTTAAGTGTGTTAAAAAGAAGCTTGGCTCTTTATGAGGCTAGGTTATAAAATGAAGGGCCCATCCACCAGGTGGGATGCACTCTGAGCAGGGGAGTAGAGCAGGTAGATAACATGTAGAAAACACAGGACAATTACAGTTACCACCATTGTGAGTCAGGCCAGAGGCCTGTGATAGAGTATGTAGAAGCTTAGCTGTCCTAAGAATAGACACGGCTGAGAAACTGAAAGTCAGCAATGCTTTGTAATACGAGGAGGTGTTCAGTGAAAATTGTCACAAAGACCTTTGACAAACAAGTTTCCTTTGGTGAAGTTGGTTTGGGTTTTTAGTGGGCTGTGCACTCAATATGAGTTAACTAGGCTAGGGCAGCAAGAATGTTCCTGTAATTTTAGGTTAGTTTAAGAAAGAGTTTTCAGGACCATAGAGGTGATAGTCCTCTCATATACTCCGCCTCAGCCAGATCATATCTCAAGTATTGTATTCAATTCCAGATGCCACATTTTAGGAAGGACGTTGATAAGGGCCACAAGAGAGTGCTCAGATGAAGAAATATTTGCATGGAAAAAATAAGATTAAGGGGAGTACTCTTCACATAACTGAAGAGTTTTCATGAGGAAGAGGGGTTGATTTATTTGACTCTGGGCAATGAGTAAAAATTGTAGAAGGGTGCTTTTAGTTTGATGTAAGGAAAAATACTTCTTATTAGAGATATACAAGAGTGGAATGGATACCCTCTCATTAGAGGCTTTTGAGTAAAGGCTGAATAACTTGTCAGGAGGGTTATAGAAGAGTTAGAGAGGCTTCTCAAGGTCCTTATCAATGTTATGATTCTTCCAATTAACTCATCTCTTAAGACATGGAACTAAGAGGGCTGAAAAAGTCCTGTGAATTGGAGCTGGATAAAGGTAGGATTTTTTAAACTACATTTTTATTACTATATTGCTTTTACATCATCAACATTTCCCATTATATTCCCTCCTTCTCCACTGTCCAAAGGGGAAAAAAAGTTTAGCAAAACTAATGTATACAGCCAGACATTATATAGTCCCCTGCCTCTGCAAAGAAAGGGAGGGGAAGTGAAAAGCAGTAATTTTTAAAGAAACTTGCTATATATGCCTGGCACATAGTAAGCACTTGATAAATGCTTTATCTATATACCCCTATGTTTGCATTTTTTTCTGCACCTTACTCTAACTGAAATATATAAAATTCAACCCATCCTGGGGGCACTTCCACAACAGTGTGGAGAGATGAGCTTTAGACTTAGGAGTCAGGAAACCAAAGTTTAAGTCTTGGTTATCACTCAATAGCTGTGTGACTTTGGGTAAGTCAGTCTTTTTTGAGCTTCAGTTTCCTCATCTATAAAATATGAGTAGTTGTGAAGATCAAATGAGCAAAAATGTGTGAAAGGGCTTTGTAAACTGCAAAACACATTATTGGAGAGAAAGGATCATATAGTCGAAAGGGTCAAATCCGGGTCCTGACACTTTGGAGCTATGAGACCACAAGCAAGTCAAACTCTCGGAGCTTTGGTTTCCCTATCTGAAAAATAAGAATAGTACTGGTACTCCCCATAACTTATCAGGGCTATAAGGAAACACTCTTAACTATATGCTAGTCGTAACTGTTCTTGACTATGAGTACCAACTTTTTACATTTTAAAACATGATTTAATCAGAGTTCCCTATACAACTAGATTGTTGTATTGTTCATATTTGTTTGAGATGCCTCCCTTCCTTCTTCCTCACTGAAAGAGTTTCTGGCTACATAGTATTTTATGCAGACTTGAGCCTTTTGAGCCATCATCTCAGAATCATATCAAGCCTATCATTTCTCTGAACTTTTTGAAATCTGCTTCCCTAAAGTCTAAGGTAGGAGTTCTTAATCTAGAGTCAATGAAATTTAAAAAAAAAAATTAACTATTTCAGTATCATTGGTTTCCATTGCAATTCTATGTATTTAAAAAGTTAAAAAGTTAACTGCTGGTCTAATGTATGTGCATGACAATGCTCAGCCTTCCAACAAAACTTTTCTAAGATGACATTAATTTTGAAGTTCTATGATTATACTGTTAATTTTCCCAAAGGTTCCTATATCGCCAACCAGTTGTTGTTTTTCAAAATTTAGCCTATTTACTTCCTCAGTCTTCTGTAAGTGAGCTATGTATACCAGGAATTTAACACATCCTATTTGTTTTTTTAGCACACTAAGATTTCCTGCAGCTGTCAAGATAGCTGAAGGCCTCTCAGGGTTCCAATAGCTTGCCCTCTGTAACAGTATTGTGATTTATACTGGAATAATTCCTCTTATTTCTCTTGGCAAAGTTGGATAAAATAGAGGGAAACATTTCAGAACTTCACACATCTTAAAGATGGCTTTATAATATATTGATTCACAAGTCATCATGGGGAGAGGAGAGGACTAGGGGATCCTATTAAAGTTTATTCTTTAAAGAGTAACACTTGACAGAGCTTTCCTCCCACAATATTATCTGAGGTGTCTTTCCCTTCTCACAGCCAATTAATAAGCACTGTCATTCTTCCTTGGCGATGTCTCATCTTCCAATCTTCCAATTCCTTTAAATTCCCACTGTACTATCTTTGTTTAAGCCTGTATCACCTCACACAAGGACAAATGAAATAGCTTCATATAGTTTTCCTGCTTATGGTCCTTTCCCCCTGTAATCTACCAGGAACACCACCACCAGTTTTATCTTCCTGAGATTGACTTCATCACTTCACTCCCAGTGTCTTATCAAATAAAATCCTAACTCCTGAATTTCCATCTCAAGCTATCTTCTAGCTTAAAAAAAAAAATCCTCATGTTCCCATAAACCTTTGCTCCAAACTAGTTTCTTATAGTGCTAGGAATATGCCTTGCCCTTGTCCTCCCTAAAATGCTGTTCCCCACCCCCCCTTCTCAATCCAACTTCCTCCTTGATACTTTTCCCCCAGGCAGCCCTCCTGCCCTTCTTCATCCTTTTAACAGCTACAGCCCTCAGTGTCTATATCACTTTAGCATATCTCTCCTTGGCCAGAGAGGCTGCACTAGATTCATCTTATTATTCTTTCCCCAGCATCTAGCATAATTCTTTATCTATTATTGGTGCTCAATAAACATGTTGATTGCTTTATTTCTTAGCTGTCCTTAGGTTCCCTCCAGAGACTTGATGTTCTGTTCCAAAAATGCAAACTCCAAATGCTGCCTTGACGTCATGTGGGCTTCTCTACACAAGCTCGCTTTTTCAGTCATGTTCGATATTCTATAGTATTATGGCCCTAGTTGGTGACATTTTCAGGTTGTCTTAAGACTTAGCATTGGAGTCAGAGGACCAGGGTTCAAAAATTGTGGTTGTTACTACCTAACTTTGGACAAGTCACTTAACTTTTCTGGGTACCAGTTTCTTTATCCTTTAAATGAGGTGTTTGGACCAGATCTTTCTCCAAAATCCATGCCAGCTCTAAGTTCTTTGGGATCTGGGGATCTTCAGGGTACAGTACAAGCTCCAACCTTTAAACTGATCTTCCTTGATGAAATATTAAGACAACCAAATTTTAAATTTCCTTGGAGAAAAAAAATAATCTACATTTGGAAAATTAACCATCTCCCACTAGTTGCACTGAAAAATATGGTTAAAAATTCTCTAAAGGAGATCCATCTAAATAAGCTAAAGTAGTACAAATACCTCAGGTTAGAACCCAGACAATTCTAGAAGCTAATGCTGATTATTTCCTTCCTCTTACTTAGTACTTGGCACAAAATGCCTTTATTTGTTTGTAATCCAGTTCTTAGCCTTGGTATATTACACAGCTCCTTGGGACCAAGAATCCTCACTATCAGATTCCTTCAGCTAATGCATGCCTGAGCAGTATGTTCACTTCACTCACTCAACTAGCTACCATTTATTAATCTCCTATTATTTGGAGGCACTTCAGGAAGAGCTGAAGATACAAAGGCAGGCCAAAAAACTAAAAAACAAAAAAACCCACTCCAAACCCAACCACGGGTCCCAGCTCTCATGGAATTCATTAACTAACAGCACTATGACATTCAAGACAACGTTTCCCGCAGTCTTTCTACCAAGGGATTTAAACCATTAGTTAGTGCTCAAACTAGTTTGCCCTGGGAGCAGGTAACTCGAATTGGCCTCAGAGTCCCTTTAAACCATGCGGGCTTGGCTTGACCAAAGTTAAGTGGTTTTGGTCTTTTCAGAAATCCTGTTTCGCTGACTCCTTCTCCGCTCCACGTTCACCTCTATGCATCCTTCCTCCTGCCCAGGAACAGCCTTCTCCCCTCGCCACCACTGTGAGGCCGCTGTAATGGTCCCCTGCGCCCGCCCCGCGGCTTCATTTCCCTAATGCCTCAGGGTGTCAGTTATCTGGCCAGCACCCCGAGGCCGAGGAAGGACGCTTGATCAGCGTATCCTGGCGCAGGGACACGCGTTACTCGGGCATAGGGTACGGCCTCGGGCGGGGAGGCCCCGCGATCCGGCAGCCCGGCCCCCAGCCCTCCCCCCCAGCCCGGCCAATGGCCACCCGGGGAGTAGCCCAGTCCCGTGCGGCCCGGGGCAAGCGGAAGCAACCGCCGTGGCCGCTGTCGTCGCCGTCACCCCACCCCCAGCGCCCCTACTCCCGCTTTGTTCTCTCCCCACTCCTCGCGGACTCTCGGAGAGAACCGAGTGGCAGCCGCTGATTGGTAGCCACCAGGCAGCCAATCAGAGAGAGGCACCTCAGAGCAGGCTCGGGGCTTTTAAATGCCCTCGTTCAGCCCCGGGATAGAGACGAGGGGAGGGGTTAGTGCAAAACAGGAAAAGGAGGTGGGTCCGAGGGGCGGGGAGAGGAAAGAAGGAAGGAAACCCCGAAAGCCGCTCTGTAAAGTGGTGGCGCAAGTGCTGATGAAGCGGATTCGTGGAGTTGCGGGGTTGGCTCCTCCGAGTGGCTGAACTGAAAGGAGGGGGGGGAAGGTGGGCGTGGACCTTTTAAAAGAACTCCGCCACGCGCCGTTTCAGCGGACGCCTGCCTGGGATTGGCTGAGCTGCCAGAGCTTCCTTCCCTGGCTGGCCAATCCCCGAGGAGAACTTCCTGGAGGCTTTTTCTCTTTCTCCTCCACGCTGTTGTCTCTCCAGTAGGGTAGGCGAGAGGCGGGGACGCGTCTGAGCCAAAATACTCCGGAGCCAGAAACTGCAGGGCCAGGAAGAGAGCAAGAAGGAGGAGCAGTCGGGAGAAGTGACCGCACCTGGGCTGGTTGGCAGCAGCTTCCCCAATGAGGCTCCACAAACCCTGCCTTCTGGTCCTCCTCTTGGGACTGGCCCAGCTGCTGGTGCTGGCGAGCGCCCACGAAGCGGGCGAGGGTGAGTGTGCGGCGGGGACCCGAGGCCTGCCAGCCCTGTTGCGTGGGACGGGGCCTCGTCCAGGGGGGGCGGGTTGGAACCCAGGTAAGCGGCGGTTCCTCGGAGTCGATTCCGAGCTGCTCCTAGCTTGGTGCTGAGGGGAAGGGAGCAGTTTGTCGGGAGCTACAGCCTCCTTTCTTTTCCGACCGTGGCCTCTGACCCCCCCCCCTTTTCCATCTCTGTGGATCCTGGGGCGGACCAGGGAAGGGGGAGGCATCCTAGGACTTTCAGGCATCTTATCTCTTGAAGATGGAGTAACTAAATGATCCCCTAAGAGGCTGAGAAGAAAGATTCGGACATTTTTCTTCTCTCATGAGCTGCTGCCTTCCCCTACAGCAGGCATAAGGGACATGAAAGTTGGAGGAAATTCCCGTCCCTTGTTCTTCTCACCTGCCCTGTACCTGTCAGTGCCCCTCCTGAGTCCCTGAGAAGCTGCCTTAAGATTTCTTTTGCAGGGAGAGGGAGGGAATCGCTGTGTTTAAAAAAAAAAAAGCCATGGTTTTAAAGAGGATGAGCAAGGGAAAGCTGGACAAAAGAAGCAGGAATTACTAACAGGAGAAAGGTGAACGGAAGAGAAATGAGAGTTATTTGTCTATTAGATGTGCGAATGATTAACCCATTAAAGTGAGAATTGGGGACTGGTTTTTTTTTTTGGAAGGAAGGTAACTAGAGTTCTGTTAATTGAATAAGACAGACAGGTGGAAGTACTTTTTCAAATAAAAACGTTGTATAAATGTAAGAACACAAGTATTGCTTGCAATAATAATTGTTAGGTAAAATCAAAGTCTTTACCAGCACTCTCTGCAAAACCTTTTCCATCTAGACGCTTAGTTTATTCGCAGTGGAGGTTGCTGCAGTACAAATGAAAATCCTAGCATTCTACTCACTGTTAGCCATGTAGTGGAATTGGTGTACTTCACTTTCTTTCAGACATATCTTGATCACAGACTCAAGGTAGTCTTTGTCTAAATTGAAAATGATCTTAAAATGGACTTTTTAAGCGTGAAATTATGTAGTACTTTTTTAAGCTTAAGAGATATGTATCATCTTTGTGAGATTTTAAGTTGCATTTTTGGGGAGAAGTTAAGCTTAGCCCTGGATGGACCGACCATCTTACAGTCTGATGGGCCTGCTGACTACTGGGTTATGTAAATAATACAGATGGAGTATGTCTGACCATCCGCTTTGGTTCAGTGAGAGAATTAAGATAATTTGTCGAATGAAAAACAGGTAAATTAAAATAGGTGTCCAAATACCAGAAACAGTTCTTATCTGGCTTTGCAGAAATCGGGGTCATACAACATACAGTGTCTCGGAGAAGCAGGTAGCCCAGAATACTCTACTTTCACCTGATTCCTATGATCTAAATTTTAGTAGAGGAGATTAATGGAGTTAACAACTTTTGGGTAGTTCTCAAGGTAAGTGTTCACTCTAGAGCATGGGTTCTTAACTTTTTGTGTTGAAGACTCCTCTATAATGTCCTGGTGACAGGTGAAGCCTGTGGACTCCATCTCAGAATAAGGTTTTTAAGTACACAGAATGACACAGGAAGCCAGTTATATTGAAAGAGTTATCCAAAATTTTTTTTTAAGTTCATAGGCCCCAGGGTAAGAATCCCTGTTCAGTGTTAGCTTAGTCTCTTACTACTTATAATGAATTCACTCCATTTCAGAAAGTAGTGCTGCTCTTTGTTTTTCAAACTCCAATCTCAGGGAATTTAAGTTTTTATTCTAAATGCTTTCTTTTCCCTAGACCTCCTTTCCCCTGGCCAGGGTGGAGCAAAGTGTTTATTTTCCCCATTAATCTTTATTTTTAGGTCTAATATATCTTGAGATCCAGATAATTTAAATGCCTCCAAAGTATAATCACCAAATTTCGGCTTTATGCTCTGCTAACAGTTATGTATTAAGTGTCTTAGATTAGAAGGTAACCATCACTTAGTACTTTTTTTCATTCTGCAAGACAAATAGAAAAGGGGAAAAAAACCCTAAGCCCTTGTTAAAGTTGGACAAATACTTTGTTTTATTTGGTATTTAAAAGTACAGAGGTCTTGAAACTGCCAAGAGAACATTAAATGCTTTTTTTTCCTTTGAAGTGATACCTTTAGCAGCCAAAAAAAGTGGATGTCCAAGCATATACAACAAATAAGGCACCTACTATTTATTTGAAAGGAGCTGCTAGGCATGGAGGATACAGAAACAAAAGCATAACATCCACCTTGACCTTAAAATAGGTAATATTCTACATGAAACTGAACTTTTCATGGTTATGAGTAATACCTGATTTGCATTTGGCCTAAGAATGAACTAGAGAATATTCAGCTTCATCAAGTTAACAGTTTTTCCTTTCATGTGTTTGAATTTAAATTTTCAGGCATTGCTGTAAGACAATAATACATTCATCTCACAAATGGATGTATAATCTGGGAAACAGATTCAAATTATTTAGATTCATTTTTGAGAACTTCAGAATGATTATCTATTCCAAAAAGACCCCTTCCCAGCCCCAGAAGGCTGAGTAGTATAGGTGGAAGAACCCTGCACCTATGATTGTAAAGACCTGGATGCTTAACCTTTTCAGAACCCAGGTTTCTTCACTTGTTGAATAGGGATAATATCACACCACCTATCTCAGGATTGTTGTGAAGACAGTGCTTTTTAAAGCTGTAAGGGCTTTATATCTAATTATATAAGCTAATCCTAAAGAGGTTTACATTCTAAAAAGAGCTGCAGTGGTTGGTTGGGTTGATAGATGAGCAATCAAAGTAGAGAGAAAGTACTATGTTTGACTGGGAAAGCTGTAGAATTCAACAAGTTGCTTCCTTGGCCCTGTATGCCCTCTGTTAAAGTATAAGAAACGGTTTCTAACATCAGGGAGTTTACTGTCTCTTTAGGGGGTATTGCTTACCTCTTTGTTTTATAAGCTGCCTATTTCCTAGCTATGCCTCCTTCTCTGTGCTACCTCCTTGCTGGAACACCCCACGGAAACTTTTATACTTATAATTTTCTGGAATATAAACTTCTAGTTTTGAATATGATTGGAATTCTTCCTGCCTGTGACCTCAGGGGTTGGAAACCAAAAAGACTTATCTCACCCCAGGACCTTTCCCCATCCTGGAGTTGATCTAACTGTGGAAATGCCAGCTTCCCTGACTCCTCGTGGAACTAATTGCCTGAGTTCCTCTGAAGCATGGACTCTAGTCCGTCCAGCTGTGGTCTGAAGACCACTTTGCCGTTGAATCCTTGACAGTATCCCTATTGGTGTCCCTTCCCTTTACCTTCCAGTCTCCTTTTGGAGGTCCTCTTTGTTGGGAGGTACCATTGTCAGCCATTGTGAGGGAGTTGATGAGAAACCCTTAAATCAGAGGTGTAAGTTCTGGCTCCAGTTCAGCACTTCTTTGGGGATCTTCCTTTAAATACGAAAATAAAAAGGACCTATTCCTTTTTAACTTTTATTGGTTTCGCTAATTCTTCTGCAAAGCTCTTTTAGTGCCAGCACTATATCATGATACAGAGTTAAGACATACTTGTGTCTTCTTCCAAGCTCTATGTGTACTGTGGGAAGGGTACACAAACAATATATTCTTGTGTTGTTATTATCAGACTGTGATTTAGATGGTAGGTGCTGTATTCCAGTGGAACAGAGCCACCAAGAACTGGAGTAACGAGAGAAGAATTAGGACTTAAGCTGTGTCCTAAAGAATTGATCAAACTTAGAAAAGAAAATATCCTTAGTTTTTTTTTTTAAGAGGGAATGGACTTTGGTATGTTTGGAAGGAAAGGAATAAATAAATATAGACATATACATATATATATATATATATATATAAATACACACACACACATATGTACAGATAAATGTATGGTTTGTATTAGTTAGCTTAATAATGATGGCTAACATTAATAGAGCACCTGCTATATGCCGGATACTCTGCTAGGCACTTTACAAATATTACCTCATTTGATCCTCACAACAACCTTGTGAAGTAGGCGCTGTTATTATTCCCATTTTACAGAAGAGGAAACTGAGGCAAACAAATTAAGTGACTTCCCGACTGTGAGACCAGATTTGAACTTGGGTCTTCCTTGATTGTAGATTTACCTCCGTCCACTACTCTACAAAACTGCTCCCAAGAGAGAAGGAATATCTTCCTCTAAGACTATAGGAAAGAAGGAAAACAAAGAGGGAAGGCAGTAATTCATATTTTATAAAGTGCTTTATTCATAAAGTGCTTTAATGTTTACAAAGCTTTCTTCTCATAACAACCTAGTGAAGTATTATAAGTATTATTATGTCTGTTTTATAGTCAGGAAATTAAAGATGAGACTGGTTACATGAGTAGTAGTGTTGGCCCCAAGTTTTAAACCCAGATCTCCTAACTCCAAGCCCAGTATACTTTTCACTAGCTTCTCGTGGGCAGTGACTGTCTTTTGGCTCTTTTTGTATCCCTGAGACATAGCATAGTGCCTGGCTTATTGGTGGGTGCTTAATAAATGTTATTGATTGCTACCAGACACTCTCTAAAACCCTGCTAGCTTTTATCAGTAGAGTAGGTTGTGAAATTAACTGCCAGGAGTTGGGGTTGGTAACCTGGGCATAGATACAGCTTAGAAAAGTTGCATACTAGGGAACTAACAGAGTGGTGTATTTTGTTTTTGAATTAATCAGTAGCAAAAAGGGATCTGTCAAACTGAAAAATAAAAAACCCGTTTATACCATTTTGGATCTTTCTTCAGAGACATTCAGTGGTTTGGAAGCAGGAGGGAAGAAAGTAGAGGGTAAGAGTGATTTAGGGACTTGAGGAATATGTGAGCACATTATTCAGATAGCTGATTGGGAAAGTAGACACTCATGAAAAATGCTTTCCACCTCCAGAGAAAGAACTGATGGAGTCTGAATGCAGATTGAAGCATACTGTTTTTCACTTTATTTTTTTCATGTTATTTGTGTGTGTGTGTGTT